TCTCTCTCTCTCTCTCTCTCTCTCTCTCTCTCTCTCTCTCTCTCTCTCTCTCTCTCTCTCTCCTACTCTTTCTTCTACATTTCCTGTATTGACTGTTTGACCTTGTGCTAGAAGTCAGCATAGAACAGCTACTGTAGATTGTATCGATCGGAGCTGTCATCTCAGACACTAAGTCTCTACAACACCACATCCTTTCTAGACAGCATTTATTCCGAGATATCTTTTTATTAATTCTTTGGTTTGAGACTGTTTGTTTGCATGTGCTCTGTTCTGTTTTAGTGATTTTAGGGATGTCATTGCAAAGCTTGATGTTTGATTTGGGGGAAAAAATTTTTGCATTATGTTTACGCTTGCTTGGTTATGTTTGTGCTTACAGAATACGGGCGTTTCGAGGCCAAGATTCATGACTTACGAGAGCAGATGATGAACCACAGCATGAGTTCTGGGTCGGGATCCCTCAGAACCAATCAAAAACGGTCGCTCTATGTCAGGTAGACCTCATCTATATTTAAACATAAATTCACATACACTAACACAGAACTGCGAGAATTAATTTAATTTTCTTTGTTTCTCAAGTCAGTTTTATCTTGTTCACATATTTTTACTGAAAAACAGATGAACATTTTTTTGGTTGTGAATGAATGTTTGAATGAATGATACTGATTTCCCAGCAGCCCCCTGATCATGTAAATATGGCGTTAACTGTCTTTCCATGTCACTCTTGTTATGTGGGACTGATGTTGGATTGATGTGAACATTAGTGTGGTCTCTCTGGGCAATGAGACATGTTTCTAGCCTGGAGCGAAATGTTTGTTGTACACACAAGCACACATACACATACTTCAGGGGTTTGCGTGTGAACCTGCAGGGTATCTGAGTGAGTGAGTCAGAATTCATCAGTGTCCACTTCGCCTTTCTAACACACACACACGCACACACACTAAAAGGAGCACATGCTGTCTTACATGTGCGCTCTAATCCTAGACAGAATTGGGGATCATATTGTTTTACATGACATTTAGAAGAGCTATTGCTATTTAAAATCAGTAGGAAAGTGGCAACAGTGACCCATTATAAGATGCTCCAAGAAACCTCTCTTTGCTCACCTGCTCTCTGTTCTTAAGTCAACATGAAACCAATTTTATTTTACAGTGAGACATACTGTGTGTGTGTGTGTGTGTGTGTGTATATATATATATATATATATATATATATATATATGCACAATTAATATATTAATATATATGTATAATTAAGATATAAAATAACATTTTTTGATCTTAATGTTTTGTAATTAGAAATTCTAATATGTATTTAATATATAATATTTATCATGTAATTATATGTAATTAAAAAATATTTAAAATTTAAATTAAAAAAATGTTTTTTAAGAAAAAGCCAACATGATAATAGTTTGAGCCCATTTCCAGGGGCTGCTAAATATTTGTAAATATTTTCAAGAAATTATGAAGATAAAGAATTAAATCATGAGACCTAAGCAATACATGGCTACTCTTCTGAACAGCTGTTATGATTCTCCCAGATATGTTTCACAATACAGTCAACAGAACAGAGATTAGCTCCTCATTAGCTGGTAGCGACATGGAGCTGTAGATTTGAGATCTGAGTTGGCTTTGTTATTGTGTGTTAGATGGAAAATTTCAGCAGAACCAGTGCACCTGTGGAGATCCATTGTGATAAATAGCCATCCTGTCAGCAGTTATACATATACACACCTCCTCTCCTCATGATGTACAGCATGCACTGCTCCCCCAGCATTAAAAAATGCTCAATATCTCCTTCCCAGCTGCAGTCTAATGTGGCAGGCCCCTTCTGTGGGTGCTAGATAATTGTACTGTGCCGTAGCCAGTCCAAAGAGCTGGTCGGTTTTGCAGAACACGGATGCTGGGAAAAGCTGAGACACAGGAAATCAGACCTTATAGGGAGACATTTATTTGCTGCAGAACACATCAGCACAGATCAGCTCACTGAAGTCTCATTTTTGTGCCATTTTACTAATGGTTAAGATAGGAGTCATATTAAGAGGGTTATGTCTTGAAAACTGGATTTTGAATTTCCCTTCTCATCAAGGTATTTGCATTACAGCCATGAGCATACAGTTACAGGGAAAAGTATGTGAACCCATGGATTTCTGCATAAATTATTATAAAAATTGCTCATTGACTGCTCACAATAACAGGCAAAAACACAGACGCAATAAACTCGTACAGATTTTAAGGGTGTGTAAGTGATAACAGAATTTTTTTGGGGGGGGGGGGGGGGGGGG